GTTATGAATTTATATTATATAAATCATTTTTGATTAATATGTGAATAAGGTCAACAGAAGTGGGAATAAATCATAAAGCTTTACTTTATATAACATATATGATAAATAGATTATTTGGTACATATGTATATCATATATAGCATATACATGTATTGCACACATGGTATATATAGCTAATAATATAGCTTTAGTATATTTATAGTAGATGATATAGTCAGAGTTCGACTTTATCCAAGTTCAGGGACACTTTATGATATGTAACATGTAAGAAAGCTCTAGTCGAGACTGCTCGACTACGAGATCCCCTGCATGCATTTGCTGAAGCACAAGTCTCTAGTAATTGAAATACGTCTTTTACAAATATGTGAGCGAGGGGGTGGATATAGGGGTGGGGGCAAAAATCGAAATTGTATAAACATCATATAAGCATACATTTAAAATTTGGAGACTTTAGCTTCAAAGATGTAGGAGATATAATTTTATAACTGATTTTCGATAAGGTTTTTATCGATAAAGAACGAACGGGTTGAGTTATCGATTTTTAGCAATAAACTTGATATTCACGCTGACGTCTCTAACTCTTATATCTTCTGCAATCGACGCGTTCATACATACGGACAGACAGACGGACAGGGCCAAATCGACTCAGCTCGTCGCCTTGAGTCTATTACATTCTGCCTGTTACATACATTTCAACAAAACCATTATACCCTGATTTCCCATTTTCAATGGGTTCATGGTATAAAAATCTACAGCAAGTCTCATATGCCTTTGCCTCCAATAGGGACAGACAGAAAGACGCAAACCCCATATGCCCTTGCAAATATTCACTAAGTAAGTGCATTAGAACATAGGAAGGGGATAGTCGATGGATGAATTTACCGACCTCTGTCGTTAAGCCAAGAATTATCTAAGCATTCATTGAGTGGCCGGGCATTGAATGTGCTGGACTCATTTACTCAATTGTCGCGCCAACTATCGGCAGTCTTATATCGGACTGATACCATATAATCTTCCATAGTCGAAATTATGGACTCATTGATTTGTTTGTCGAGTTCGGTTGACTCAAAATGTGAATGGAAAATACAAAATTTCGGGTGTTTTCTTCAGAAGTTTTATCTTTTTATTTTGCGGATATGACGTGCTCGTCTATTATGCTACTTAACTGTATTTGCCGATACCCATATACCTGCGGTCCCGCTCACCTAGCCAGTGGCATCCATGAGAGTGCAGAAAATGTGGATGCTAATTTTCGCACTTTTGTAGTGAATACACGGCATATTCATCAGTCTGTCTCGCTCTATAGTTTTATCCCATATGGATAATATATTTAGATGTACAATGAATCCATCAAGAAATCGCCAGATGACGCCCCAAGCTTATTAGGCCTGTTGATTTTCTATGCAAACAATATATGCATCCACATCCGCAACCGCAACCGCATCCGCATCCGCATCCGTATCCGCAGAGCTACGCTGCGCTGCGCAGCACTGTGAATCGAATGGAATGAATAGTAAGGGCAGTGCACACTCATAGCTGAATTGAACTGCACTGAAAATGGCGATATCTATTGGCGTTCGCATAAGTCTGAATGAATTATGAATTGTATAAATCATCTCGATTACTCATAATTATCGCAACTATGGCTTGGAACTGCATCTTATGAACTTGTTTATTGAGCACTTGCACTTGCGATAGATGATCCCGAGATAATGCAATTTTCGGTTCCAGCCTGTTCAGTTGCAGCTCAGACGCAACAACAGGCCAAACATTTGCACAGTGACCGAGGCATTCCAATATCAGAGTATCGTATATATAAATCGATATATGTATGCGCATATAGACATATCGATCTTTACCTTATCAGTTATTCTGCTGGTTTATCAAGTCATTATTGGTAGAGCGCACTTCAGCTGATCGATTGACCAGCAATGTTTAAAAAGATTATGCCAAGAGTGCAAATCATTTGGCTCTTTATCTGAAGCACTTTCTATATAGACAGCATGTACTCTGTTTGCCTTGCAACGCAGCTGTCGCACTCAGCCGGATTACATTCATACATATATCTTCCGCTTTGGCCAGAGCCTTGCCTTATAGACCCTGTACAGAGGCAATGGGTTCTACTTTGAGCAGATGAAATATACTGTCGTCTTTCAATTTCAAATTAAGAGCCACCAGCACAGTTTCAGTATTACCTAAGTGAACTTCAAGGAACGATAAGAATCCATAGTTATGAAAAGACAACTCTAAATAGTTCAAATATACTATATACATAAATATAACATATGGTTTAGTCTAATATATACGTAGTACATGTATTTT